GGTCACGGAGCACGCTGCCCAAATCTCGCTGATGGGTTTGAAAGATAGACATGCATAGAATATAAGATCAGCAAACACTGAGGATTGAATACGTGTAAAACTGATCTCCTTCGAGGTTTGGACCGTGTAAACCGGCCTATGAATCGGGATAAGCCCTCCAGATATTGAAACTGCCATTTGAAATTCATTGGGCCATCGATACTTTGCTAATGTAGCCGTACATTTCGCAGGGGAATCGAGAGCAGCGATGAAAGACATTTTTTTGTCGAATTATCTTCTTCAGATGAGTCCAATATTTGCAGATATGAGAAGGAACTGTCTCGGGACGCAGTGGGGCTCAGCGTGTTCGGAGCCATTATAACACGAAGGAAATGTCAATACTGGAGAAGAATTTGGAAATAGATAAGCTCAACTGTCTAATAAGTTTCACTTTTTCCCATGAATTTTGGATCAGTTTTGGGATTGGAGTCACAGGGAGAGAATGAATTCATTGAGCCACTTTGCCACACGAACACAAAGTTCAGAAGTTCGAAAAGTGTGTAGATGTTCGGTGCTGCTTGAACTCAAACATATGAAGTTAAGAGGTTCGACAATGGGCTATTTCCTAATTGGACCATGGCCGATCGTTGAGCCACAGTGTTCGTTCGTTATTTCGTTCAAATTTTAATTAAAGACAGCAAAAGTATCTACCGAACTACTGTAACATTTTTTACATGTTAATATAGAAACGACACTATCGATTTGAATACCTGCAGAGTGTTAAAAGCTGTAAAAAAAGAACAAAAAACAAAACAAAAGAAAGCAAAACTAAAAACAAAGGAAAGGGAAGGATAAAACAAAAAATAAATAAAATTGCAACGAGTAAACATGCGGGCGTGAACATTTCAAGGACTCCCCGTTGTACTTCAGGTGACCACTCTCGTTTGTGTTGCAAAGTTTATTTGATATCTTGGACGAGCTTATGCTTTTCAAGACGTCCTCAGTTTGTTACATGTCCTCACATTACTGATGACATTTTTGGTAGGTGCTTTCGATGTACCAGTACTCCTGTCCCATCAAAACAAGCATAAAAAACAGAACAACTGACGCCGATTTATTATTATGTATACATAGCCTGCCTGAATGGGAATGAGAATTTTCTGTATTATTTGCAAGAGCTACAACGTGAGCAGCACCTTTTTGGGGGAAGATATTTATAGTCTGACTTCTGCCGAAATCCCAAACGAAAGAGGCTTTGCAGAGCTAGCCACTCACGTCGCTGTCAGCAGGGTACAGAAATAGCCCAAGTCCGAGCGGCATGCAGGAATTATTTCTTTGTGGTTGTAGATAATCGTTGCTAAGAGGTATAAAAGACGAAGGGACAGCATGGGTGGATTAGTCAGCGTTTGACGCTAAAAGGTGTACAAGAAAAGTTGGCGTCGACAGACTCGCATGGGTATTTTCCTCACATTGGTGCACTCAGTCGTCTGGAGGGGGAAGTCAGCGCTCTCTGTCAGCATGTCATCTGGCCCATCACACGGCGTTGTAGAACATGAACCCGGCAGCCTGCACTTTGTGCGGGAAAAGAGGTGTCAGGTTAATTTTCTATCAAGAGAAGATAATTTGCTGGCTTTTCACTGAGCGCCAAATTCAGCGTCATTAAGTACTGCGGCGTGCAGCCACAGGATTAAAGGTACCCTCGTCGGGATTTATTCTGTTTTTTTTTTCAAGTTGACGACTTAGGGGAGGGACTTAAGAATGTAAAATGTATTTCAGTGGAGCAATTCTGTAGACTAAGGGTCCAGTGATGTGTATATTGTGTACGTTAATTGCATAGTCCTGTGTTTGAAACTCGACGTCCATTTTTAGCGACTTTTTTCTTGGGATACACTGATCGTCACTGTTGATCAGAACGTGTAGTTGACTATAGCGTTATTCGACCACCGGAATTAGAAGTCGTTACTGCGGTGGCACAACGCTCGTTGACAAGTGGTACGCGCGCGTTTCATGCCTCTTTGACCAATAGGGTGTTTTGATTTGCTAAATGCACGCGCACGTCAAACTGAAGAATGGGCGTGTGAGTGCGGTGCCACTGCAGTGTGGGCGTCTTATCGGATTAGTCTATTTAGAGTGTAAATGCACAGAAACGTACGGACGAAGCGCCATGTGCCAAAGCATATCTTCACGCGGACACCACACAGATAAAATGGCGTCGCAATGCATTCTAGGCAAAGGGAAAGCTCGCAAGTTGGACACCGTTAAGTTTTCAATCTCATTGGCATGTGTGGCTTTAATTAACACACCATCAACTCTAATTCCGAGCGCACTTGAATGATCCTTGACGTTGCGGAGAGCTCTCCGTGTGGGGTGCATTGACAAGTCAGCCGCCATTTTTGAGGTCAAGACTTCCTCCCCCGCCAACCTACACGCGCCACTCGCTCTTTAAAAGCCCCTTGCAACCAAGAAAAAAAAAACAAAAAAACAGAATGAGAGACAGCGTGCCGTTCGGTCTAAATAATACGGTGATCACACGATGAGATACTATTTTATTACAGTCGCATCAGCATGCCTGGGCCGTCTGCACACCTATTTTCAATTTCTGCTGAGCCATTAGCCGGGTTATTGTTCACAGGTACGGGCGAATTCCGCGGGCTCCCCGGCGAGTTGGATGGCGTTAACTTGTCACAATCAATTACTGCGGGCAGGGTTACGAGCGACCGGTGCACCTGGAACCACGTGCCCCGTACGGGATCGGCCCGACACGCTCGGCCGGCACCGCGGCTCTCTGCCACACGGCCACGGCGACACTGTAAACGATTCTCACCCCTCTGAAGGATTCGACGGAGTGACTATAGGGTGAACTTCACAAGTCATAATGCCAAGAGGAAAAAAAATCACAAACCATTAACTCACTATGTGGGAGCCATAGCACAGTGGACACCATTTCATGTTTGGTACCAAACGGTACGGTCCGGTTTGATTCCGTAGCATGTCAACTGAAAACAGAACGATCGCTGTTGGACGAAACGTCTTGTCTTATTGTCTCACTTTGGCTAGCGGAAGTGTGGCAAAAAATCAGAGATGGTTTACCATAAGAACAATGCTCGTCTTCGCTAGGTCGCTGAAAGCTGACTCCTCGATTAAAGCGTGCAGACATCTTCAAAAACGCCGTCAGAAAAATACCACTTCAAATACGGGCGATTCACAATAGTGCGCCTCCAAACGTTTGACCAATAACAATGCGCAAAATCTGTCGACCCAATGCGTGTTTGAAAAGGGTCGACAAAAGGGTTGAAAGGGGTCGACAAAACACAAGTGAAAAGACGTGCTGATACGCAGTAGGGATCTCAAATCTTAGAATTTCTTGCTTGACAGTATCAACGGTTACAGTTCTGACAGCTTTCCAGCCAAAAGTGACTAACTTGAACCAGTGACTGAAACATACATAAAATTATACTGGCGAATACAGGGGCAAACCCAGGATGTTTTACTGGGACGTGGGGAAATTTTTGTTCGTACCTGGGGAGAGAGGGGGGGGATTACACATGAAGTTGTAGCCGTTGTTGAAGCCATTTAATCCCTTTGTTTGTCGTTCATCGTACACGAAAAATAACACCCCTACGTGCTCCGTGCCTTTATAGAGGGTCTTCCAACCTTAAGACGTAGGTAACTTAACAAAATGGCAATGGGCAGGGAGGGGGAATGACTCCCGCCCCCCCCTCTGGATCCACGCCTGTAATGTGGGAATTTTTGAACGACTTTCGTGGGTAAACCAGATCGCAGTGATGGTCGCCCTCTAACCTCACAAAATGACAACAGCTGTTTACTTTTAACGTAACATACCTGACTCACAGACCTTCCACATTATTCGTTATTTTTTTTAGCAGAATGATCTGAGCGGATTTATTCTATGCTATTCAGTAATGGTAAATACCTCATTTTATTAATAAATACTGTAAATGTAATTCTGTTCTGTTGGGTAATTATTACAAGCGACGGGTCCCTACGAATAATTATTCTTACCTTATTTTGCTGAATAGAACAGTTTGTTAAAAAAAAGGAAGTTTGAAAAACGTAGTTTTTCTCAAATCCAAGCTTGCGAAACTCTTCCACTAATGGATGTTATCATTTTGCACATTTGGGAATACACAGTATACAGACTTTGTGGCTCCATGGCGTCGTATGTCTTAATTTCCCAGGCTACACCCCACGACCGGCCCCTAAAATCTGGCAAACCAGCGGAGACTAGGTAGACTGTAGTCTGGTACCCTGAACAAAGCTGTAAAGAGTATGATAGTTTTGTGATATCATTATGACAGTGTCCCGCCGATCCACGAAAGAACTCTCTTGTGTTCATCTGTAGTTATCTGGACTATCATCCAGTTTGATATACGGCAACGTTTGACACTTAAATTTAAACAAAATAGAAAATGGCATCAGGTACTGAGCTCTCTATCGTATATAACAAATCTGAAAGTAGCATCCGGCGTTACGGGAACAATATCAAGGAACGCTGTCAATAGTCAACAAATTAAGCAGATTAAATTAAACAAGTAAAGAGAAAACTATTAACACCGATGTGCTAATGAACTTTAATAAAATCGTGCATTTGATGTAGAAAAATGACAAAAATGAATCAAATATTTCAGTTAGTTTGCGACAAAATAAAAGAATGTTCATTTGGAAAGAAATCTGGTCCACCAAATCCTGATTCTTCAACTTCTAAGCCACAATATTACTAGGCATCTTTATTGAAAATATGTCGCGCAGTGAGTGCTCTTGAATGTTGATATCTGTACCCTTAATTTAATGCATAGTACAAACAGACCCTGTTGGTAATGAAACGACCAGCCAACACATGCATGTAAACCTCGAAAGAACTCCACACACGTATCACGTGACTGTGAGTCGGCACTGTTTAAAGGTATTAGACAGAACCTAAGCTTTCTCGGCAGTGTATTCCGTGCAGAAGTTGGACCGCGCGGGAATTTTTTGAACACAATTTACGGACAAAAACCCTCTCACGAATATATGTATAGTCGTACCCTTTGGACGACAGGTGGGTACAAAATTACTGGCTGAGTGGAATAAAGTGGTTGTTTGGCCATTTTGAGGAATATACAAGGGGAAGGGAAGGGAATCGCCAGCAAAGCTAAACGTTTAGCAGCAGTTTTGTACAATTAGAGTGGAAAAGCTGTCTCGAATCGACAGGGATCAATCAAAAGTATACTCAGTATTTTTGTTCTGCAAGATTTTTAGTCATAAGGACCAAAGGTCATCTCTGTATGACAAAAAATGTCATCATGTCATAATTTTTAACCTAACAAATTATAATAATTTCAAATCCTGTAAATTAGCAAACTCCCATGTTGGCGTCAAAGTCGGCGATAAAAGCGCCTGTCAACATCACACAAATTGCTTTGCTTATGCAACAGAATATCGGATTTCTGCGATGCATCGAGCATGTCTGTGGCCAATCAGAGCACGTCTAATTTCGTATCACAGGTCAACAAATTTCGACCAACTATACAATAACCAAAATTTTAGAATCTTCAGATTTATGCAAAATATCATGCAATCCATGGTCCAGTCGTCAAAACAGGCGAACGAGAAAAAAAAGAAAGAGAAAGTTCATAATCTGTGATTATATACAAAGATTTTTCATACAGTCCTGAGTGAAAGGCCTCGCAAGTTGTAAGCGCATTGAATAATTTGTGGGACCTATATCCAGACGCGTTCAGAGGCACGTACTGCAAGTCCGATTCGATTACAACCAACGGTTGAACGCGTTTCCTGGTTCAAGAACAAAGCTTTAAGTTAACCCAACCTGTTTGAAATCTGTAAAAGTTCACAAACTTCCGCAGTATGTAGATAGTTTTGGCCCATGCAAAAGTATGCTCTGTAGGCTAGCGTGTTATGGATTTCGCTGGCAGTTGATCACACCGAAGTAATACAAACAATTTGAACAATTCTCCTTTCGTGGATGTTCCCACTTCATTTGCAAGCACTGTGAAGTTTGCTTCAAACTGCTATGTATCAATGTAGATGATACTCACGGGTAGATTACAGTGGCATGGTTTACGAGCAGTGGTCTTGAAAGAAATTCTTAAACAGTTGAAAAAGCAACTGTATAAGATAAGAAACACTGGTGGGGCAATGGTGGCATTGAAAAGGTCTCGAAGGATATAGCAACCTGCTTATCTCCATCTATGGTCTACCAGTATTGTTCCGACGCGTTTTAAACATTTCAAGTGTCTTGGATTACAAATTATCCTGACTGTCATGACAACTCCATCTTGGTTGACTCTGTGTCGCTGCTGCTCTCTTTCTGCACAGCCACTTTGCTCATGTGCTCCTCTGCTTTCTTCCGGAGTCTCTCCACACTGAGCGTTTTCTGCTCTTCAAAGACGTCGGTCAGGGGGCGGGGGTGTGCCATGATGGGTAGGTTGTGGGGTTTAGAGGGAAGGAGTCTTTCCACCAGGTACCCGAGGGGTTGAGGCACCCCCGCGGCTAGTGCCGCCGACAAGGAGTTCCAGGTGAAAGGGGAGAAGGCGGCAGCGTACGGCGAGGCAGCCAGGCTGGCCGCCGCGGCGTAGTGGCCGGCCAAGAGTCCGAAGCCGCGGCCGCCGACGTCACTGGGCCGCGGCGAGAGCAGGCACTCGATGCTGAAAGAGCTGCGGAAGGCCGAGTTGGCCGAGTCAACCCCGCAGTGGTGCGGTAGCTTGCTCCTCTGCTTGCCTTCCCGTCGCGTCTTGTCACCTTTGGGCAGCTTGCCACCCGGGGTTTTCAATTTCTTCTCGGGGAGAAACACGTCGGTCGTGGTCTCCTGCGTGCTGTTCGTCCCCGGAGACAGCAGTGGCAGCGAACACTTTGAGTCTCTGTCCTCAGGATCTTCGTCCCCTCTCTCGGTGTCATCCGAGCCCCCCTCCGCTGCGATGGCATCCTTCTTGCCTGTTGCCTCCGCGGCTCCTCCTTGCTTCTTGGCTTTGGCCAGATTCTTCTCGGCTTTCTCCCGTTGCTTCTGCTTCTTCTTTTCCAAGCGAAGTCTCTCTCGCCGTTCTATTTCCTCAGGGGGGATCGGGTCGCCGCTGCAGGTTACGAGCTGCGCGTTGTGAGCCGGCCTTCCTGGACCTTTCTTGGTGTTCTCCTTCTTGCGCCATTTCGCCCTCCGGTTTTGGAACCACACCTTTGCACAAGTAAAAAAAAACATAGAAATATTTCACGTGATTGGAATGATAGCAACTTAATCCACAATCTCTCAGCAGAAATGTTATGGTTGAACGTTGTGACGCAGCCACCATGTTTCAACTTGTACAGAGCAAGGGAACCGGCTGCAGCCCGTCTCTGGTTTGCATTACATGTATGGCTTATGGAATGCCTTAGAAAACTTACTCTAGTTAATGGAAAGAGTAGTTGGGGCAAAACTTCACAAAGATAGTATCAATACAATTCACCAAGCAGAAGTACCGTATGGACACAATGGATCTTCATACGTTTCCATCTGCAACGTTCGAGGTCATACATGAGATAGTCGTTGATAAAAACACGATATCAACAAATAAATTGTGGATTTTTTTGCCCTGCCCGACGTGTATCTTAACACTCTATGCTCAGTGAATGCCCCGAAGGCTTGTGAACAATCTACAAATGTACTTGGGTGAGACTCGAACTCACGACCTCCTGCTTACTAATGCAGACGTCTTAACCACTCGACCACCGAGCTTGCCGGGTTAGCTGGCTGGTTCGATTCAGATGTAGCAGCGGGTACCGGGAACAACTATTTCAAAGACGGATTTGCGCCAGGGAGATGTAAATTAATTTTGATACCAACAATTTTCATTTTAGGAAAAAGGCATTTTATGTCTGGTTGACTTTTTTGGGGGGTGTCAATTACTCAATTCCTTATTATTACAAAGAAGGCAGAGTTAAAACCGGGAAAATCTCGGGGGTGATAACCATTGTGTCAACCAACGGCTACATTCGGAATTTGATTACTTTTAAGCCGAGTGCATGTACGTGCTGCCGTAGGGATCTCTCCCAGCCGATCTCAAAAAACAGCGTCAGGATTTCATAAACAAAGAATACCATATTGGGTCAAACCTGACATTATTCAATTGCAAGAGTAGCCGGCTACACAATAGCAGATGAAGGCCTGAACAGAGGACGGGCGAGGATGGTGGAAACAAAGTAATGTGAATGCGAATACTTTTTTTCCCCCTGATCAGTATTATCAGTTGGAAGTGAGATTCATCGCTGGATGTGAGATGTTTCCCTCCCTTGTCTGCCTCACAATGGCGAGGCACGGGAGACTGCTGGGTGACAGCCGTGACTCAATGCACCTTGAATACCGACTCCCGGTAATTTGCACGTTCCCGGGCGTCCGCCGAGACCGGCCTGGGCCAATCCCGCGTTGGCACAATGTCATTTCGCCAGTTTGATTTCCCATACTGCCAAACCGGGGGGACCCCGGATACAAAACGGGATTGCGTTGGCGTAATAGGGCCGGTACACGGTTATCCAAACACAACACATAAAGCCCACACTCGCTGAATAAGAAGAGACGAGGAGTGTGCAAGACAGAGACAGGAGGAGAGGGTGAAAAAAAAAATTGAGTAAGTTCAGAGGCTTTCAGATTTTCGTACTGGATTTCTCTGGAGACTATAATGGAAAAATAACAATGATTTACTCTCTCCCGCGCGCTGGGATTTCCCAAAGATCACTTGGAACGGGTCAGGTGCGCGCTGGCGTTGCAAAAACAGTCATTGTGCCCCGTCCACGTTATTATTTTTGATCTGAAATGTCAATCTAGCACAGATTGAAAAGCCAATGAATTTTGATACATGAGGGAGTCTTTCAAGCTCGTCAAATAATCCGTGAGTTCTCGGGTGTTGTCCGCGCGGGGCGCGCGGACCCGCGGTGGATTTCGGGGGAGCGCGCGCGTGTGTGCCCGGACCTCGGCTGCTGTTTTTTCCTTCCTCTGACCGCTGTGCCCGTGCATTTGATACACTAGCAATCACAAGGTATTACCTGCCGGATTCCCCGGCGTAGCTGGCAAGTAGGTGAGTGACCTATCGGGTGACACGCTGCGATCGAACTACTCTCGCCCCGGCGCTGTAACCCGGCGGGTTTCGCGTCGCTCGCACGGCCCCTCGATGACAACAGACGACGGGATAACAATATGATTCGGACTTTTTAATCAGGTCCCCCAATTGAAAGGAGGCATAGATCGTGGACACTAAAAATGGCTTGTTGATTATGGACTGACGTATCAAAATTCTACCCCCGAGCTCCCCCAAAGGGCGCAACACATTTTTCTTATTTGCGCTGAGAAAAAAAGGTGAAATGGAAACCTTTCTTGCACAATGGTAGAATTGATACTAGGGACTCGACGCAAATGCCAAAGCCTTGGAAACAAAGTAACGAAGAAAAATACAGTGCCATAAGAATTTATTGCACCCAAAATGTCCCCATATATACTTGCTGTCTCAGGGTAGGTGATGATTATTCGCAACGCTGCTTGTTGTTTAAGTGCGGGACATGAAAATGCCCATGGCGAGCTAATCAGTAGCTCAGGAAAAAGCCGTCGGGATGAATACGCTGTAAATCCCGCGGTAGAATATTCAGCCAATCAGCTAAGGTGCCTGACACGTTGTAAAAAAAGATACGGTTACGCCACCTTAGAGAACACATCAGTACAGTTAATAGTTAAAGCTGGCCCGAGAAAACCTCCAACATCTCAATCATGATAGTGAATTACTCGAGGTCGGCAAACGCAGGTCAGACGAGAAGCCTGCTATGTCATGCATTCACTTAAATAATCAAGCAGAGGAAATTAAAACGAACTCCATTTCATGTCGAGTGAAAAGTTACAGAAAAAGCTGCATAAAAAAGACATGTGGGGTTTATTATATATATGCATATACAAGTCACTGCCAACTTCTTCTACCACAGGTTAAGCACAAGAGGTTATTTGGTTACAGTCGCTTGTTTACAACATTCTGGAAGTTTGCATGCGAGTCAGCAACGAAGCTTCAGGGCCACCACACAAAATACAAGACCCAAACCAGAGCATCGTTGGAGTCTTAATGCGTGGAAGGGCTAGGGGAGAAGGTCCCTCGGAGAGACACAAAGATGTGATTCTTAGGACGTGTGCTGGCACATTTACATAAAATGCTAAATGTTTTGTAAGGCGTTTTATTATTTTGTTAATTCTATTTATTCTTTTTGTTGTAAGCTTTGGCCGCTCCCACATCAGCTCGGATCGGCTGCAACTCTCGAAAATCGTGCTCTAGGACTAATGAGGATTAATCCATTTGCTCCTTTGGCTGGGTAGGTCTTGCTCATTTTTTGAAAGAATTCTTTGAAAGGCTCATTTAAATAAATGTTTAAATGAAAATAGAACAACAAAAATAAAAAGTTGACCACTTCGGTTTTTTTAGTCGCAGAAATGATTTAAAATATCGGTTAATTCCATTACCATGAAGTATGTGTGAAATCACCAGCGCCCTCTGTTGATATGGGAAACGCACACATAGTTTGTTGAGTGTATAACACTTTTTGCATCTTGTACTCTTGCAGAAAGTATTTTGCCTTTCATAAAAACAGTTGTAAAATGATGCTAACCTTTGAGGCCTGTTTTAAGAGGCACTTTCGTTCCACGCAGTACAGTCGATAAGCATGGTGCAAGAATGCCCGATTGTCACAAAATATATCAATAAAGTTATCATATCACAATATTTATTGTGTTTTGTCTACTTGTAGAAACGATCTCCTTAGAACAGAACATCAGCTGAAAATCATTGCCGTGTACCACGTTACTTTTTTTGCTTTGTTGGCAAATTGCAAACTCATACGGGACAAAACACGGCTTGGCTTATATTTTGTGAACAGAAACGCCATCCATTTGCAGTTCTCTCTTTGGAATTGGAATGGAGCAAGGACAGGACTTCACTTGGCAAAGCATAAGGAAGGCCATTCGCTCTTTGCACGCTGCCGCCAAAGCATGCAGAGCGTCGACTTGGCAGCTGGTAAAATGGACCTTTCCCATAAAATATGCAAATTGGACGAGCGCATGCGCGCTACTACCACTGGTTGGCAAGTGCAGCCGTCAATACTGTCGGTAGCGTGGGCGAGCTGCTAGTAACCATAACCTGGAGCGTTGACGGTCAATCAAAACCATATAACAGCCTTTGTCCGATACCTGAGCACACTTTTCTCGAAACTAAGTGAATTTTTTAGTGTCCTGGGAGTGAGGTTGGAAAGTATACAGTCCCTTGTCTTAAGTTTGCACTCATGTCAAACTGTACTCGCACAGAAACGGCATAAGTGACGCGGGCATGGAGATTTGTATTGTTACGTCAAAGATTTAAGCAACTTAAATTTAAGCAACCAGTGGTAGTAATGCGCATGCTCCTGCCTTATTTGCATATTTCATGGCCCATCGCGTAGTATCCGGTTCGTAAGTGTCACGTCACTTCAGTTTAAACCATGCTCCCTACACATGCACTGCACAAAGAGTTACGTGTATTGATCGTTGCTTACATGGTACTTTGGAACTGGAGGTTAACCCGCAACTTCAGCGATCGTCGAATTGTAGCATGTAAATCGTGGCGCGTCTGCCTTTGTGACGAAGTCACTTGCGAACCGGCTATGAACTAATACGCAGCACGGGCAAAATTTCATAAGCAACATGCGTGGGAATCACTGAACCGGCTATATTTTTATTGTGTGAGTAAAGCTGCCAGATTGAGGCTCTGCATGCCAATGGCAGCAGCATGCAAAGAGCGAATATCGTGCAATTGATATGCAGGTTGCTGAGATGATTAGCTATAAGTGTACAGCAGGCCAAACTTACTGCGTAACCACTTCCTTATCCCAAAATGTACCACGCTATCAGGGACGAAACATTTTGCAAAGACTAACAAAAATTCTGTGCGATTTGCCAGTAAAAGTGCATGGCCGGATGAGAAAGCATGCGTTTTGTTCATAGGCCTGATGCTGTGGCGTAGCATAACTGCATAACGAATCCTCAATAACAGGTGTGCAGTTAAAAGTCAACGACTGTTGCCATTTTGAATAATGGATTATACCGGTTTCAATTCTGGTATCAGAGACCAGCACCGAAAACACTGGCTGTCGCCTGGGGCACAGAAGTGACAAGATCGTAATATTCACTTTCACATGACT